AGAATATAAAATTATCTCTCTGAATTAGAAAACTGAATTTCTTTCCAAACATTAACCGATCAATCATGTTACTTAATTTTTAAGAATATAATCAAATGGTAATTGTTTTGATTCTAATCAGCTTGATGTAAAATTCAAATCATCATGATGATTACGAAGATGATGAAATAAATTAACGATTAAACTTGAGTTTCCTTTTCATCACTAATATACTATAATAGTAATATTTTTCTCATTATCGTTTATAAGTTTTGATAATCAAGGTAGTCACGTTTTCATTATCTTCATCATCATCATCATCATCAATTGGATGACAATTAGTTTTTTTTTATCATCCTCATCCTCTTTTCCTCGGTAAAAGGATGAACCAATATTATTTATCGTCAAGTTAATGATATAAGTTTTTAATCAATCTTTTCATGTTAACTGTGTTTCCAGTATCTCTGATTGGGAATCCATGTAACTCTTGTTACCTTTTGATTTCTAATCATTTCAAGGAACTAAATTGTTACAATCATTATGAGAAAAGGATCATGATACAAATAATAATAGTTGCTAATGGTCAATCCAACTGACCATCTATCTTATTGTTTTTATTTGCTATATCAAATTGGAGCAACAATAATTGAGCTTCAAAAGTGTTAGAATTGAAAACTTTCATTGTTAACCAATTGATTTTGATTTGCTTCAAAACTAACGACATTAAATTGTTATCGTTAATTTTTTATGTCTTTTAATCAATATTGTTACTTATTCCAAATGATTAACACCAATTTCATTTAATTGTTCATCTATTACAATCAAATGGCTGATTGATCAAATTGTTTATCTGATTTAACAGCTAATTTAATTACATTTACAAGTTTAATTTGGTTAATTTGATTAAGTTTATTGTTTGTTGTTTTATTCAAATTGTTTGCTGTTGATTAATTGGTTTTAACTTTTAATTAGCTAATTTGGTTTTAGACTTTTGTTGTTTTTATTTTAATTCATCAATTGGAATTGAAAAAATCAATTCAATCAACAATTACCAAGAATTCAAGTCTTGATCATGAATTTAACTTTTCTATTATCATGTAAGCTGATGGATTCTCAATCATTTCAACAATTTTCCTTGTTGATTATGAATTATTATTATTCATTTGTCTTAGAAATTAATAAATCAATGAGGTAACAACATTTACTACTGGAAAAGTATTTCAAGTTAATGGGGAAACGGAAATGAAACATAAAAAATCAATTAACATGAATGTTGTTCAGTTGAGGATGATTATGATTCATTGTCAACAGAACTTTTATCTCAAATCTTTTACTATATCTTCAATCATGAAATCTGATTCTGTTGAATTCAAAGAGTGACAGAAAGATGAAGTTAGAGAGAGAGAGAGAGAGAGAGAGAGAGAGAGAGAGAGAGAGAGAGAGAGAGAGAGAGATGCAAAAAAGTTCTGGATTCGGAATGTAACACAAATATAATTGAATGTCAGAAATTCAGTCTTCATGGAACATGAATTAATTGCTATTACATGTCATTAGATTTCATAATATTACATGGGAGAAATTCATCCATGATTATTATTCGGGTTTAGATCCAATGTCAGAAACAGTTGAGGTTCAATGAAAATTCATTTTTATTCAGGTAAAAGAGGAAAAAGAAAGCGATAGAATATTGAAATTGAATTCTCATGATATTGGAAAAATTTTCTTGAATATTGGATTCTCATGATAATCAAGATCATCATCAACCTATTAATTCAATAACAATAATAATAAAAGTCACTCCCATAGATTGATAGTTGTAATAATAAACTACATAATCAATGGTAACAATTTCCATTCATGATTATCATGAATGAAAATATGTTTCAAGATGAAGATGATTATAGTTAGATGATAAGTGTAAATAAGGCTAATCAGCTAAATTGTCCCGATCGATAATAAATCTATTATTTTGATCGATAAAACAACAACAACAATCAACATTTATTAACAACTTTTCATGGCAATCACATGATAATCTCAGCACAAATAACAACAATTGGAAACGATAACGATAACCAATAAATAATAATAAGTATCATCAGTAATCAATTGTATCAATAATGTAATCAACTTGAGAGAGAGAGAGAGAGTAAAGATTTAACCATGAAACTGATATTCAAACCCTATCAATACAATTCCGTATATATATTAATCATGATTTACAATTTTTCACCGAAAAGAGGAAGAAAAAAATTCACCATGGAATCAGTTGAGTTTCCAGGATTAATGAGAAACAAAGTAAAGAAAAAAAAAGATTAATAGAAACTTTTTTTAATCCTTTCAAGGATATTTAAACTCATCTTTCCTAATCCTAATCTCCATGAATAATATTAATCTCATCAATTATCATCTCATATTATCTTAGTGACGGTCAGCACATTTCATTATTTATCCATAGTTTTTCATGACAACTTACGATTAATAATCGGATACTCAGAACTTTTGAGATTTTTTTTCATTACATAACGATAAGAAAAAGATAATGAGAGTGAGAGAGAAACTTTTCCACCATCATCATCACCATGGAAAAGATGAGAACTCATTGTTTTCTTTTTTCATTCATGATCTGATTCTTTACATTATTTTCCATCTCCATCTTCATCTTCCTCTTTCTATTATCATTACCTCTTCCTTTTTTCTCTCATCTTTCTTTCTTCAGAACATTTCATCCTTCCTCTAAAGTTCAGTTCTATTTGTATTCCAATTTTTTCCTTCTTCTTCTATTCTGATTACTTAAACTACTCCATCATGAAAGGGAAGGATAAAAAGTAACTGTTAACTACAACGTAAAAGAAATCATGAAATTCATACATTTCATGATTCAAACTCAACTGAATCATGATGGCGTTGGATTCAATTGGATTTAAAAAGTTATATTTTAAATTCAACGAGAAAATATTATCTCCCATGGAATGACCTTAAATAGAATCAACTAATTGTTGAAACAATTAAATTTAAAGTATTATAATGTAATCAGTAGATTATTATTTTCCTTTATCCTGTTATTTTTATTAGTTGGTTGATAATCGTAATTATCGTAATAATAATGAATAACTATTCATGAATATGATTCTCATGGTGGTGATAAAGGTTAAATTCAATTTCATGGTAATCCAGGGAATTGGAAATATCAATAAACTCAAAGTCTCTAAATGAACTTTCAACTCTTGATATTATCAAGAATATAAAAAGTTATCATTAAAACTTTTGGGATTGTAAATCAATCTAAATGATATCAAGTTGGAAACAAAAGTTTCAATGAGATTTCAATTGATAATCAACCTGATTTCATGATAATGAATCAAATTTCATGATATAAATATTTTCTCATAATCCATCAATCATAATAAACTTTAAAATAGATATAAAATTCAAATCATTTTCATCAAGATATTATAGTGAACCTGGTGAAAGCTTCAAATGCAAATGGTCACCAAGAGTATCATGATTATCATTATTGAAATTTCATGATAATGAATATCATTCAACTGGAATGATATTGAAATGTAATTTTTTTCTCTTCTTCTTTTGATTAGACTTTCAAAAACACTGAAAATTCATTCAACTATTATTATTATTTTGATGATCACCCTGAGCAAGAAATTATCATCCTAAAGGCTGGTTATTGATTATTATCGTTGATTCTGTTGAATATTTACCCTGAAAGTTGAATCAACGTATTCTCATCATATTAATTATTATAATGAAACTTTGTTCCATTTTCCTATTCTCAGAATTCCCTGAATTCTTGGTAGATTTTCCCTCCTATTGTTTTCTCAGCATTCCCTGAGTGTAATCATCTTTTTCCTCATGTAATATTATCAAAAATCTCTGAGCAACATGACATGATGAATTATTATTAGTTTTATATCGATAATTATTTATCTTATTCTTTAAGAGAAAAGAATACAAAGATAATCTCATCTAAAATTAACAGAATTCTTCTGAACTTTCATGATAATATATTTAGAAACTTTTGTCGAAGAAAAAAAAACTCCAATAAAAAACAAAGTTTTCGCTCATAAAACGATATAAGATGATAAAGAATTTAAATTCTTCCCATGGAGTACACACTGAAATATAAGAATTTTCTGAGTTTCGAATATTTTTTCATTCTTTCATTTCGCTTTTCCACCATTGAACTTGATTCGAAATGTTAATAAAATAATTTCTTTTAGTTTTTTTTCTGTCCATAGCCTAAGGGTTGCTACATCTTATCTTTGGAAGATTTTTCTTCATCATTCATTTTTCTTGATGATGAAGACAAGATGATGATAATGGAAGATTAATAAGATTAGCCCAATGGGTGAATGATTGGAATAGGAAGTGGAAATCAGTAAGGAAAAAAATTCTCTCTCTTTTAAAAGAAAAGTAATAACTTTGAATAGTATTTCAGAATAGCAGATAAGTGATGATGACCAATGGGCAGACATTTTCTATTATCAGTTTTATACCAATTTCATGGGTGAATTTTCATCACCAAGAATAAGAATCGAATGTGACTGAGGAGAGAAAAAAAAGTTTTCCAGCTTAAGGCAACACTTTTATCTCAAAGAAGCTGAGAAGTTCAGTTGATCCAGAATTTGGAACATTTTTTTTTTCCTTCTTCTTTACTTCTCTTTTCTCTTTCTCTCTCTCTCTCTCTTTTCTTATTTCTGGCATTCCCCTGATTCCCATGGTAAAGGTTGATTCTCAACCTTATCATGGTAAATCGATAACAGTAAAAGTAAAATCAATGATTCCAAAGGTTCTAATGATAAGGTTAACAATAGAGGTTGTTGAGGTGGAGGTGATATTGTTGTTAATAAACTGACTGAATGAGTTGAATGAGTATTTGGAATGAAATTATTTTATCATTTAAAGGAAATTTAAGTTAATTGTTTGTCTCTGAGAAGAGGGAAAATTTTTCTCTCCAATTAATTAACTCAGTAAATATAACGGTAAATTTAGTCTTCACTTACCATCTCGTCGTACTCTTGATTGTTCACTGTCAATTTGATTGTTGGTGTTTACTTTGTCATTTGATGGTTCCAAGGGGGTGGAAAGTTGTGATGATGACAATAAAGATGATGATGATGATGATGAGGATGAGGATAAAACTGATGATAATGATGAGATTGAATCATTTGAATCAACGGTGACAATTACATTGGACAATAATGAGCCACTTTGAATGCACAATAATAATAAATTGTACAATAAAAACATGATTCAATTTGATTTACAATTAGATTTATATGTTTTCTTATTATAAAAGGAAAAGGTTAACAATTAACTAATTATTATTAAACTATTTGTTTTGGTCTTGGTAGTGTTTTTTTTTTACTTGATTGTTGTTGTTGTTTATTTAAACTTAATTGGATTAAGAAAGTTAATCTTCTTAATGTTTAATGATAATGGTGGATGATGAAAATGATAATAATAACAATCAGTTAATCCTCATGATTATGTAATTGAGCGGAATGAAAAAACAATTAAAACGTTTCAACGCACAAAAAATGGTTTTGTTTTTGATGTTGATGATTAAGTTGATTACGAATTGAGGTTTTGTTGTTAATCACTTGATAATCATAATTTGATTGTTATTTACTTTTGAATCAACTAATTAAATCCCTTGTCAAGTTGATTGTAATCGTTAAGATAATGATAATGATGATATTGGTTAATTGTTGACAAGAAACACATGATGTTTATTGAATTTGAACAATTTAAAAATGAAACTAAATCACTGATTAGTTGATTGGGTAGACCATTTTTTTTGCTTCTCCTGTTGATTAATAAATTGATTTGAAATTTACTATGATGGATAAGCTTTTAATCACCGATTAAGAGAGAAAGAGAAAGAGAAAGAGAAAGAGAGAGAGAGAGAGAGATGAAAAATTATTGAAAGATGATGAAGATGAGGATGACAATTTTGTTTTGTTTCTTTTTTTCGTATTGTGTTAAATTTTTGTGATGAACAACAAGAGGATTAAGATTAACAATTTCGACAATTAACTCGATTCACTTTGATTCATTTCGTATCTTCATCTTCCATTTTTATCTTCATTCTCTTTCTTTTTCTCTCTCTCTTCCGTCAACAAACTAATATCATTCTTCAAATGTAACTTATCCTCATCCTCGAAAGGTTCATCTTTACAGTTATGTTTCATGTTCCTTTCAGTTTTCACTCATTTCATCCTCATCCTCATCCTTATCTTCATCTCTCTCTCTCTTTCTCTCTCTTTCTCTCTCTCTTTCTCTTCATCCTATGACCTCATTCTCTATAAACCATGATGATAAAAGATGCAATTCTGTTGATTCGACTCATTTCCGATTCAATCGAACAGAAAATTTCCTTTTTATTTCTTTTCTCACTTATCCTTAGATAATTCACTAAACTTTCTCTGAGTAATTCATTTGCTAATTCAATTAAATTTCAATCGTTAACCAAATGGTAAAAATAAAAAGATTAATTGATCAAAATTAATTTTCTGTCCATTTTAAATTTACCGCTTTTCTTTAAAATTCTGTTGACTATCAAACTCGTTGCCATGGTTACCATTTGGATCCAGATACTTGATCATAATCCGAATTTTTATTTTTTCTTTTAATCATTTTCTTCAATTTCTTTTGGTTAAATTTTTTTTTTCTCAAGATTTTAATTCAATTACATTGTAATTTAATTGTTTTTTTCTTCAATGGATTACAATTACTTTTACAATTGAAAAGTTTAATCATTTCAGGTGCTGTCAGTTTACTTTGAATGATTTTTGTTGCGAAAAATTTGGATACAAATTGTGAGATAAATACAATTCAATCTCTGATGATGTAAGATTAATAATGTGCATTAAACTTGTTATCTGAACATATTTAGACTAATTTAGAATTTTTCTTTCCTTAATTCAGGTAATTCTAATTTAATTTGGCTCCTTTCTAGGATTATCCATATTCTTGGTTGATGTTTAAAACTCTAATTAACATCTGACATCGTTTAATTTTCTCTTCCATCTTTCTGGTTCAGTGTGTTGGTAACATCTTTTGCTATCTCTGTCTTCTTTTCTTCATCTCTCTCTCTCTCTCTCCTTTTTTCTTTCTATTTGGAAGAGACTATTTTTTTCTCTCTCTTCTGTCTATCGTGCGTGTCTTTTCTCTACCTGCCTACCACCTTCCTCAATCATGGCAAAGATCAGAGATTCGGTTGACGAATTGGTTTCCCATGTATCATGTTACAATTCGCGTCCCCTTCTTTTCCATTTGTACCTGGCCCCTTTTCTGTGTATCTATGTTTTTCTCATCAATCTTTGGTTTGTTAAATATTCTACAACTGAATCTCAAGAGATTTGGTTCATTTGGGTGGCTGTTGCAGTTATCTTACAAATACTTACTTACCTTTTCTGCCATTGGTCAGTAGATGTAAATTGTTTCCTTGCCTTTAGTAAGGTGAGTTTTCCGGTCATTTTTTACTTTTCCTTTTATTAATATCTATCGGTATTTATCAATCTTTCAATAGATTCTCCAGACATAGAAAGAAAATCTTTTTGACTACATCATCATTATCACCATCATATGTTGTAACATTTGGCTCTCTCTTTTTTTCCTTTACTTCTGATTATTTATCCTTTCTTCAGGTTTCCCATCCATCTTTAGGAGAATTTGCTAAAGTTGTACCAACACCTAATAATGGATCAACTGAATTGGTGCGATTATGTCGATCTAAAATATCGGATGATAATAGTGAAATTTTATGGTTTCGATTTCAAAAGACTAAATATATTTACAATGAGAAAGATGGACAGTTTGAGGTTCTCAAATTTCCAGTTAATTTAAATCTATCCTTTTACCTGGAATGGAAAGGGCACCAAGAAGAGAATGAACTTTCCCTTGCTGAGAAACATTATGGTAAAAATGATTTGGAAATGGTTGTACCTGAATTTATGGAACTTTTTAAAGAACGAGCAACAGCACCTTTCTTTGTTTTCCAAGTTTTCTGTGTTGCTCTTTGGTGTTTAGATGAATTCTGGTATTATTCTCTATTCACTCTATTCATGTTAATAGCATTTGAATGTGTTCTTGTTCAACAACAATTGAGAAATCTTTCCGAAATTCGTAAAATGGGAAACAAACCTTATCCAATTCAAGTTTACCGTAATCGTAGATGGAGATCAATTCCAAGTGATGAACTTGTACCTGGTGATATAATCTCTGTAAATAGATCTCAAAATGATAATCTTGTTCCTTGTGATCTTTTATTACTTCGAGGTTCATGTATTGTCGATGAATCTATGTTAACCGGTGAATCTGTTCCCCAAATGAAGGAACCAATTGAAAATGTTAATGAACTTGATCGACCTCTTGATGTTGACGCTGATGGAAGACTTCATATCCTCTATGGAGGTACCAAAGTTGTTCAAAATACTCCACCCGTTAAATCAACCACCGGTATTAAAGGTAATTAATCCCTCTACCAATTTTCATCATTTACCAATGGACGAAATTTAATCTTATGTATTTATTTTCCATCTCTTAGCTTCTGATGGAGGTTGTACTGCCTACGTTTTGCGAACTAGTTTCAATACATCCCAAGGAAAATTACTTCGAACTATTTTGTTTGGTGTTAAACGAGTTACTGCCAACAATTTAGAAACATTTGCATTCATCTTATTCCTATTGGTGTTTGCAATTGCGGCAGCAAGTTACGTTTGGATTAAAGGAACTGAAGATCCAAAAAGAAATCGTTATAAACTTTTCCTCGAGTGTACACTCATTTTAACTTCAGTCGTTCCTCCAGAGCTTCCAATTGAATTATCTCTTGCTGTAAATACTTCCCTTTTATCTCTATCAAAGCTATGTAAGTTCCACAATTTTCATCAATTGTTTTATCATCTAATTAATTTTAAATATTCTTCCTTTTTTCTTCCTCCAATTAGTTATTTTTTGTACTGAACCTTTTCGCATTCCCTTTGCCGGTAAAGTTGAAATTTGCTGCTTTGATAAAACTGGTACTTTAACCAGTGACGATCTTGTAGTTGAAGGAATCACCGGAATCAAGGGTCAAGGTATATAACATATACACATCTCCCTCGTTACCTTATTGTTCAGTAATATTATTAAATGAAATTAATTTTTATTTCTATTTGATTAATAGAAAAACCATCGACGAGTATTATTCCTGTTACCGATGCTCCTCCCGAGACTATTCAAGTTTTAGCCGCTTGTCATTCCCTGGTTCAATTAGATGATGGTTTAGTAGGTGATCCTTTAGAAAAGTCAATTCTTTCCGCAATCGATTGGACACTTACCAAAGGCGAAGCTGTAATACCCAAAAAGGGTAAACATCCGGCTGTTAAGATTTTCCATCGATTCCATTTCTCATCTAGTCTAAAGAGAATGTCAGTTATCGCTGGTTACACACCAACTGGATCCCAAGGAACTACTTATTTAGGTTTAACGAAAGGAGCACCCGAAGTACTTCGTAACATGGTTAGTCTTTAATTTTAGACAATCGATTATGATTTGATTGAATTTCTCGTTTTTGTCTCTTTTTGTCGGTTTGTTTAATTCATTTATTTGTTTTCTTTTACAGTTTACCAAAGTTCCTGAAAATTATGATGAAATTTACATCTCCATGTCTAAAAAAGGAGCTCGTATATTATCATTGGGCCGAAAAGAGATGGGAAATTTATCTCATCAAGAATTACGAGATATTACTCGTGATGATATTGAGAAAAATTTAGAATTTGTTGGCTTCATTGTGATTTCATGTCCACTCAAAAAAGATTCCAAAGTTGTGATAAAAGAGATCATTGATTCAAGTCATTATGTAAGTTCTTGTGAATATTAATCAAATGAATATTTTATCATCTCTCTCCACCATTGGTATCAAGATACTAAGATACTTATTACAACTAATTTTATCATTTCTTTTAATTATTTATTTTCACCAGGTCATGATGATTACTGGAGATGGACCTTTAACTGCTTGTCATGTTGCCAGGGAACTTAACTTCTGTAGAAATGATGACACTTTGATTTTAACATCTTCTCAAACAAAGAATGGTAATTAAATCGATAAACTTATAATTTATTCAATTTGGAAAACTTAATTAGTCTTATTGAAATGAGTTTTCTTTTAATTTTTGCTACCAGAAACCCAATGGAAATGGAAAGGTATCTACGATGAATCTGAACACGAGTGTATACCAAATATGAAAAGAGAGTTTTATCAAAATTATGATCTTTGCCTTACCGGTGATGGAATGAATTATTTACTCGAGAATCATAATAAATTTTTCTACTCAATACTTCCTCATATTGTTGTTTGGGCTCGAGTTGCACCTAAACAAAAGGTAAATTTACTCAATCGGATTGGAAATAATTTGATACTTATTTTTATCTTTTCTTTTCTCCTTTTATTTTACTTTATTTTTTTTTAGGAATTTGTTATAACATCATTGAAAAGTTTAGGATACACAACATTAATGTGCGGTGACGGAACTAATGATGTTGGTGCTTTAAAACACGCTGAAGTTGGTGTTGCATTACTCACTCATGCTCCTCTTACACCGAATGATTTTAAACCCCGGAAACCCATTGATGCAGCAGCTATTGGTTCAAATCTATTCCCATCTTCTGATTTAAACTCTCCTGGTAATCGTAATAGATTAACTCGTCGTGGTGAACCAACAAGGGATAGATCAAGTTTATTAGGTTCTAGTCAACGAGCCCAACCACCGGCTACTCGAGCTGAAAGATATGCTGAGATGCAGCGGAATCTTCAGAAAATGTTACAAGAAATGGATGAACAAGAAAAGGCTTCAATTGTCAAATTGGGTGATGCAAGTATTGCCGCTCCATTCACATCAAAATTATCTTCCATTCAATGTGGTAAGTAAATTTTTTCCTAAATTAATTTGATTTATCCATTATGGTTACAACTAACTCATTTTCATCTTATTTTTTTTTTATTCTCTTCACTTGATTAGTTTGTCACATTATTAAACAAGGACGATGTACCCTTGTTACCACACTTCAAATGTTCAAAATTTTGGCTTTGAACGCACTTATTTTGGCCTACAGTCACAGCGTCCTTTACTTAGATGGAATTAAATTTAGCGATGGTCAAGCAACACTACAAGGTTTCCTTTTGGCTGGTTGCTTTCTTTTTATATCTCGTTCAAAGGTACAACTATTATATAGTTTTAATTTGTTAATAATAATCATGAATTCATTTTGTACTAATCATGTTATTTTTTTTCCTTCTTTTTCCAGCCACTAACGGTACTTTCAAAGACTAGACCATTAGCCAATATTTTCAATATTTACACCATATCAACAGTCATGTTACAATTTGCTATTCACTTTTGTACCCTAATTTATCTGGTTCGAGAAGCAAACGCCCGTACACCTCCCAAAAGCGATGAATTTGCCAACTTGGAATCAGAATTTCAACCATCTCTTTTAAATAGTACAGTTTATATAATTTCAGTTGCACTTCAAGTGTCAACTTTTGCTGTCAATTATAAGGTAACCTTTTCTTTCATCCTAACTTGGAGCCATATATTAATTATTTCTATACTCTATTTTTTTTAACCACCGGTTACAGGGTCATCCATTTATGGAAAGTTTGAGACAAAACAAACCCTTAATGTATAGCATTTTTGGCTCTATCATTGCGGTCATCGCTTTAGTTACCGGCTATTTCCCTGACTTAGCCCAACAATTTGCTATTGTTGAATTCCCACAAGAAGTAAGTTAATCAATCGATCAAAACACGACTTAAACCACTCAATCCTCCAATTATTATAACTTTTACCTTTTAATTTCTTTAGTTCCAAGTGGTCGTATTAACCGTATTAGGAGCCGATTTAACTTTAGCTTTTGCTATTGATAGAACATGTGAATTTCTATTTGGAAAAGGAAGATTAAGAAAGATATAGACCCTGGTAAATTTCGGATATTAAACAATTAGATAAAAAAAAAGTCTATTTAATTAACTATTTAAATATCTTGTAACAATCTATTTATACCTGTTGTTTGTACCTTTGATGTTGTCAAATAATCCGTCACAATCTTGAGGTGTCACTAAGAAACCATTTATATAGATACATGTACTTGTCAATTTGATTTCTTTTTCTTTGACAATTTCAACTGAATCTCAAACTTTCTTCACCACAATCAATTGAACAAACTGAAGTTATCGTTTTTATGATTCAGCCAAAATTGAAAAGGAAAAGGAAATACAAAAAAAAGTCACCAAATTATCCTTCCCTCCCTCCACCTGATCGTTAATCATTAATTAAGCGGAATCATTTGTTTTTACAATTCAATGGGAAATCCCTGTGATCTGATGTGTTTAAATCCTCTCCTCAATGGTGATTAACAAAAGTCTTGACCGATTTGATGTCCAGTTATCACTTCTCAAAATTTTGCCTCTAATCTGGAGATAAATTAAATCAAACAATCAATTAACCATCAAATCTCAATTTAAAAGTTTCAACCAATATATTACATTGGAAGCAGCAAACAATACAAACTTGGCCTTTCAGCAAGTTTAAACTAAATCCAATCATTCAAATCAACTTTTGGTCATTATCAGCCTAACAAAATTGTTGACAATTACAGTCAACAATTAATTATGATCAATTTTTGACTTTTAATTGTTTCTTTTTTACCAAAAAAAAGCAAAATTTATATTATAAGTTTTTGTTTTATCTTGATGATCCAAAAAAAGTGATATAACATTTAACGTACATTATAATTATGATTTATATATTTACAATTAGATAAACTTGTTAATTGTAATCAATTTTGATGATGTTTTAATCAAACGGTTAAAAGTTTGATCTTTTGTTACAATTTACACATTACAAGAAGCCCTCGAGTGGCGACCAGTTAAAATACGCTGAAAGGCCGTCCTGAATTCTGGGCTGAAAATGGTGTAAATTATTGGATTAAGAGTCGAATTGGTAAAACCTAACCAGGAAAATATACTCTGGACCGTTTTGGGAGGGGCACATGAGTCACCACAAATCGGCCTTATAAGAGCTAAAATAAAAAAGGGTAACCAACAGATGACAAAAACTCCCGTTATAATGGCCAAAGTTTTTGCCGCTTTACGTTCACGTTTAGCCTCAAGCGATTCCTTGGTTCCAGGTAAAGGTGATGGATGATGATTATGATGATTTTGATGATTATTCACCTGACAATAAGTCTTTGAATTAGGTGACCCTGGATCGCTTGTCTTAATAATTAGTGAGCTTTTAATTGATCCAGTGGCGTTTAATTTAACCTCATTCGTGGTGTTAATTGTTTCCGTACTTTGGTGTAAATTTTCATGATAACCACCATTCGAGGTTGACCCCAAATTGTTACCATTTTCATCTGATTTAATCTCATCTCCCAAACAGCTCAAATCCTTAGCACTATTATTATTATTTTTACAATGAACGCTATTGTTTTTACTGTTATTATTATTATTATTATCGTCGCTTGTGATGATCGTTGAGTCCATTTCTTTACATCGATTGGTATCACTTTTGGCTAACGAAGCGTTTGCATGACGAAGATTCGATGTCATGTTTCGTCCTGGTTTATGGCGAATTCGTTTTTTGGCAACCTTGAGAAAAGAGTTTTTTAAAAAAGAAAAATATTCAATTACTATTATTGGAAAGTTCGTTCTTATCAATTTTTATCGTTTTCGAAAAGTTCTGTTCGTAGGCTCCATCTATTGAGGGAATTTAGAATCATCTATTTTCTTTCTCTTCGAATGTCTAACTTTAAAATTGGTTCTCGATTCATCTGTTGACTGTTTAAAGAATTATTTATGATTGAAAGGCAAACACTGAACAAATTGTTCTGTCGTTGAATTTTGTCTCGATATCAGAATCGTGATATTAATTAGAGATGATAAATGATTTCTATCATTTGTCATCGTCAAACTTTCATTGAATCGAGTTTATGGAATTCGATTCTAATCGTAGTTTAGATCTTTCGGTTTTTTTTTGTCATAAAAATGGAGGAAAATGTAACATGATGATAACTTCATGAGCGATTACAAAAGTTCAGGTTAACAATTGATAAATAAGGTGTAAAGAAAGATGAATATGTTATGAGAATTTTTTTCTCCACTTTTCTATCTTGCATTTTCATGGTGAGGAAAAAAGTTCTGAGACTCTGATTGAAAGGAAAATTACAACAACAATAAAGATACTGACAAAACCAGTGAAGGTCAATTAATCATATTGAGTAATCGTTGAATAAAGTTCAGTCAATCCGAATCAATATGAGAGAGTTTCCTGTTTGTGAAGCAAGAAAATTAATCTGAGAAAACTGTGAATCCAAGATTAACATGATGGTTCAACCGATAGATTGAAATTCAATAATCAATAAATTAAGTTATTGGAGACGATCAATTAATTATACTCATCGGTATGTACTTCCGTAAGTTCATTTAATCAGATTGATCTTAAATCATGTGTCGGTATGATTAAATTTCTGTCTCAATGTTGTCAAAGTGTTATGATGATTTCATGACTGAATCTGAGATTAATAAGTGAATCAAAGTTCTGGTGAACTGAGAAGAGAAAAGTTTACAATATAAACTTGAGGCTGAAATTATTATTTTTTTTTATCGATTTCGATTCAATCAAAACTGAAGATATTGAAACAATAGAAGTAATAAAATCGTGACGAACCAAAGTATTGAACTTACATGAGAGAATTCAATTGTTTCAATTATCTGTCTACCTTTTCTTACCTCAACACCCACTGAACTAAAAGCTCCAAATCAGCCTTATCGAAACACCTTAATCATGGTTGGAACTGTCAAAGAATCAAGTATTAAATCAGAGGAAAAAGAATGACAAAAAATAAATTTCCAAACTCAGATAATCTCCATCATGGATAAGAAGACAAATGATGTAGACGAGAGAAAGAGAAACTCAGACAGAAAAAAATGATTCTTTTAACCTTCATGGGTTTTTAATGATTCAAGAAAAAGAAAAGAGGATAAATAGGAAGATGGAGAAAAGAATTGATTGAGGTGGGTCATCATTTCCACCATGAGTTTCTACTAAATAAGAGGTTGGAAAGTAGCCACAGCGATTGGCACCTTAACTAAGCCACTGTTGGAAAACTTGACCAGTTGAAATCCTTGTTAAGGTGTTAGTTGAGTTTCAAGATTTATCTTCTTGAAACTTCATGAGGTTTCATGAAATATTAGCCACTATAATTGCAGTGGATAACATGAGAGTGAAAAAGAAGAGGGAAAAAAAGTAAAAAAGAAAAGAAACTTGAAAATTGATGATGAAGATGAAATGATGAGAATAGAAGAAAAAAAAATCTCCAAGAAAACTGGACATTGTCCATATGTGTATGATATTGTTAACACTAAATGACCTCAAAAAGTTTTTCTTTTTCTTCTTACGATTCATCTTTTTCTTTCACCTTTTCCTCTGTGTAGATATTCACACAGGTAAGATTACATTTTATCTCCTGTTATCATTTTGTTCATCTTCATCAAACAATATAAGAAACTTACATGAACGATTCATGAAGGTTTGACTTTTCAATCCAACAGGTAACTTTAATTTCATCTGTTGGTCAACATAAAAACTGACCTTTCAAAGTAAACAAATTTCCTCCCTGCAATTAACTTGGACAATCATGGTGGTGATAATCAAATGATGATGGAAACAAAATTTTTCACTTAACAAAATGTAATTCGTCTCATCTATTATTGGTCAGAATTTTCATTTCTCTCTCTCTCTCTCTCTCTCTCTCTCTCTCTCTCTCTCTCTCTCTCTCTCTCTCTCTCTCTCTCAGTCTTGACCATCATCATGTTCACATGAAAATGGACACAAAAAGAAAAGATTTTCATTCAAACTTTCACTTCCTTTTAGCCCTTGATCTAACGGTAACCTTTGTCATCTAGTGAAATATCAACAGATTGATTCAAAAGAACTTTTTTCACTCTCTTATTCAGATCATCATGTTTGTCACCATGAACAATTGAGATGCTACAATAGAATAAAAAGAAAAAACAACAACAACAATAACAACAATATTGGAATAAATCTTTTGATTCTCTGGATTGATAATCATTTAAAAAGCATTTTGTTTATCTGAAAGTATTGCAAATACTTTTGGACAAGTAAATGCTTTCAACTTATTAAAATACATTCAAAGTTTAAGATAAATTTCAGGCAGAATTGTAGATAAACTCAGTTCTCTGCAATAAACAACATGATGGAAAAAATTTTCATTAAACTTGTCACATTCAACAATCAGGGTTAATAATTTCAGTCCATTATCAGCATTACGCTGATTAGATGTTACTTTTCCCTGTGTGTATGTGTCACTTTGCATGATGAAATTAACTCCATGAAGAAAAAAAAATAAAATGTTTCGCTCTTTTGTTTGATGAAAAATTTTCTTTTCTTTTTTTGTTATTTACGTTAAGAATTGAGAAATTTTCAGTTGAGCTGAACTTTTCTTTCCAGACTCACCATGAAGATAAACACCTTCACTTTCACCCACTTTGACATTTCCATGTAACAACAACAATAATAAAATGCTTTGAATCTCATCATGTTTTTTTTTCTTGTTAGGGACAAATAAACTCTTCATAAAGTGTTGATACCTTTTACTGAACTTTTCTCAACCTATTCACTTCATCATCATTCTGATGATGATGAGAATGCTTTTTATCACCATGAACATGGGATTGATTGAATGAATAGCAAAAGGATGTTTTCATAAGATATTTCAATCTCGCATCACTTATCATCACTTGTGATAATTTAATTCTGACCCAGAACTTTGCACTTTCTGTGTATGTGTTTGTAAGATTATGATTCATGTTAAGAATTTTCTTCAAAATTAGAACTTGTTGTTTTTTGTTTCGAGAGTGAGAGTTTCAATCATAAAGTTGATCATGATTCTGAATCTGTTCATATGATGAACTTTTTTTCTCAGACTTTCCCAAGCTTCCTTTACAACTTTTTGTTTACATTTTGTTTCCTCTTATATTGTTGGCTCTTCATTTCTCACTCAATTGAATAATTGTGTTTATGATTCAGTTGTTTTCATGATTATTATCATCATAACGATGAATCAAACATGGAAGCCAAAAGATTATACGAAACAAGAAATGTAATCCATCAATAATATTGCATCTCCAATTCACTTGGGAATAATTGAAACCAATTGAATAATAATAATAATCATGATTATCACTATCACCAAGCAATAAATTATATCCTCAAGAATATCTCTCAGTATATGAAACCATTGATGAAGTCCTCATGAAGTTCATGCAGAGAGAGAGAGAGAGAGAGAGAGAGAGAGAGAGAGAGAGAGATCCTCATATAAGCTGAGAGATGAAAAAAATGATGATGATAGCTGAACTTTTGTCCAGTTGAATGGCAACAGAAAACAAATTTCAGTCTGGACGAAATCGTAGCTGATGAATTGATCATGATTATCATGTTCATTATCATTGGCTATCATTGTCCATGTAATAACTTGATCAATTGAGTATTCATAACCATTGCTTAGTTATTCATGATGATAATAATACATCATAAATATAATGAATGCAAACCCACATTCACAAAGAGGACAAGTAACTGGTCAGCATGAAGACGAGCATTTCCTTCAGCCTGTGGTGAAAGTGAAAATTAATATAACTGAATAACTTGTAGGTCTGTTGACAATTTGTATTGAGTGATTCTTGGTCAATATCATATCAATATTTGCTTCATAAATCACCATTGGAAAAGAAAAGCAAATATTACCTTTCGCCTTTTTTTACTCACAATTTTTGCTACCACGGAAAAAAACTTGACCATTACCCATGGACAAACTGAACCAAGAATGATTTTTTTTGCATAATATTTGCTTATTCTGATGGTGGACAAGATTGAACTGTTTGCCTTTCTTGCTTGACCATTGGAGACACTTTTTTTGTCCCTCATTGCAAATGATATGTGAACTTTTTTTCACCTTCAATTCAGTTTGATTTTTGTTTTTTTCTTCATGACTTATTGAATCATGAATCAAGGTGATGAGTGATTAATGGTTGGCTGATCACAGGGTGGTAAATTGCTAGTCGCTGGGATGTGAAGGGTTTTCCTCCTGATTGTTGTGCTGTGGTGTAATTGATTGTTGATGGCTATTTAATTGCAACCATTTCAAGATTGATCCTCTTTCTTGTGTATGTTTATAACTCTAATTCCCATGTAATCAAATGATTCTCACATTAATCTGATCAATTACCCATAACTGACCAATCGAACATGCAAAAAAAATCGGTAAATAATCATTGAATTGACCATTAATCTATTCAACTTTTATTTGCATAACTCAGACAATTAATCAAAATGACTATTAAATAATAGTTTGATTTATTAATTTCTAATCTTTAGATTAAATTTAACAAACAATTTACTCGATTGTAGCCATGAGAGTGATATTATGTTTTGATTTATTTTCTAATAAAAATGAATCAAGTTTCAAGGGAATCAAAATATAATCTTGAAATCTAAATCAAATTGATCGGCAATTTAAAGTCCTAATGATTAGTGTGACTTTGGATGTTCAAAGGACTTTGTTGTT